AAAGTCATTTTGTTCAAGTTTTAATCTGTTTTTTTCTCCTCTCTTGGTCTATTAAATGCAAGCCATACTACTTGCAGGAATTTTTAGGTTTAACCTCATATTTCTTGTTTCTAGTCTCTGCATTCTGTACAGAATGCCCTTTTCCTTTCTGTTGTTTCCTTTTAAACATGGCTGTATGCTCATGGCTGCTGTAGGAACTGCAGGAAGTTGGAAAGAGTGCCTGGTGCCAGCACAGCCTTGTTTCCTTCAGCAGTGGCAACAGGATATACTTTCCTTGTGCTACAAAAGCCAGAAGTGTGTACATCATGTGATGCACTTAAAACCAGTTTGGAGGGGTTTTGGTTTTGTTTAGGTGGTAGTTGTTCCACAGGCGTCTGTTTTGCCTTGTTTTACATTACCCTTACAAGCACTTTGGGGTAGAAATTCCTGTTTTAGTCATAGTGAGAATCGCAGTGGGAATACGTTCACATTAGATCCCTATAAAGCACAACTTGTCTTCATTTTCTTAGAAATTATTCTCTATTTTTTCAATCTACTGTAAAGTGTGAACATTTTTAATATAGTGCATATACTATACTAATCATTTCTTTTATTATAAAATAAATATGTTTATTCTTTGTATTATGTTTTAAATGTCCATTACAATGGAAATAAGCTTTATAATCTTACTCGTACCCAGTTAAGTTGTACTGAGGTTGTTAAATGAATTGCAGAAAAATTTATTGCTGCTCAGTATTATCTATTTAATGGGCCATTAGGCCTGGCTATTCTTTGTTTGAATATTGTGTAATAGTAAAAGAAAGCAAGTGCATTAGAGCCACAGGGGCATTACCTTGTTACAGATACTTACATAATTTGAGGCAGTACCTTGATCCTATGAAGCTACCTGTCCTCACGTGCTTTTTCATATACTGAGGTTGTAATTGCATATGGGTAGACTTAGGTCTTTTAAGAAGTAGAGCTGTATCAGTGATGCATAAATACATGTGGAAGGCAATCCAAATCTCTTAAAATCACACACAGTTTTTTTTGAACCTAAGTCAGTTATTTTCCAGGAATAGTTGGATTGTGTTGAGAACTCTTCAGCGATGTGGTAGGTGCTTTCATATCTCACAACCTTTTGGTATTTGTGAAAGATGGGCATTTTCTAAAGACAGATGCTCAGTACCTTCTGCCAGTGGAGACTTCTTAAAATCACTTCAGTTTCTTCACCCCTCCACCAGCCCCCAGTCAGAACTGCTCACTGCTGAGGTACGAGGGAAGCTTGGTTTTATGAATTGCCATTTTTGACCTGTTTTTAGGCTTCTTTGCCTTTCAAAATTGCAAATACTGCAGCAGGAGACAAACAGATATTTGTGATTATTGGATAATATTTTTGGTGCTGGAATAGCAGAGAATCCTGGGTAATGTATCCATCTGTCATTTATTACCAAGCCAAGAATTTCAATCTCCCGTTTTCATTTTCTTAGGAATGCAGTGTATTTGCTGTTTGGTATGCTCATGTATGTGCCCATGTAACTTAAATGCTGTTAGTGCTGCCTTATACAACTGAAGCACCCATATAAAAATAATTCTGATATATTTAAGATGTACTAATACTATTCAAATTATAGCATCTCTGAGAGCAAAACTACTTATTTTTATTTTCTGATATATAGAAAAGAAAGTCCAACACAGGAAGACGCTGTATTTAACATCAATAAAATGTTACTGTAAACTTGTATTGCCCAATTCAGTAATACAGAAGAGAAGTTCCATGTGTTCCCAAGGTACAGCGTGCTGCAGCAGCAGTGGCTTACTTGTAACACTTGTTCTTCACTGGTGTTTATATTTGATTAAAAGCCAACTTGCTGTGATTATGGACAGAGAGGTACAGGTACGTAAGGATGGAAGTCTAAAGGTACCATTGCATCTATTTGATGGAAATGGGATTTCTTAATTTTCAGATTTGCATTGTATGTTTTTCTCCGTAATACTACATGGAGAAAATCTGATTCCTTTTAATTTTGGTTCCCTTAAAGGACTTAAATACAGGATCTAAATGACTTTCTTTTTTTTTTTTTTAAAGAGCCATATAATTTGTATTTCTGAAGTACTCTCCCATCTACACAGCTAATGATATCTAAAGGAAAGACATGTGCCTCATGGATCCCAGCTAACTTAGTATGTTGCAAACTCTAGGAGCAATGAAGATGATGCTGGAGCCCGGGTGCTCCAGGCTGACCATGGAGGCTTTGCTGTGCTCTGTGTCACTGCTGGGAGATTCTGTGGCCACATGAGTGCACGTTGCTGGTCCAGGCAGCAGAGGGTGGACACAGCAGCAGAGCTGGGCCAGGTGGCTCCTTTACAGAGAAGCATTGTGTGCTCCTAGTGGCTTAAGCATGGTGACTTAAAAATGGAGCATAATCCACTTGGGAACTTCTAATTATAAGTAAATGTCGAGATTGTTAAAATGCTTGAGTCATCTTATTTCAGAAAACAGATGCTGCAGTCAGTTTGGCATCTTCTTTCAATTGTAAGTGAACGAGGCACAAGGAATAGAAGAACTGCCCAATAAATATAATAAACAGCAGTTTGCCGATTTTGAGCTCTTTACAGCAAGTTTTATACTTACCCAGATATCCAGTTCTGAAGAGAGAAAATTTTCCTCTCTGTTTGGTTTTACACTGGGGACTACGGGGAATTCTTTTCTGGTATTTTGGACAAGCATACTTGCACAGATCATAATCTTTACTAAGTATAATGAACAAAAGTAGAGTAAGACGCATGGAGAACAAGGAATTGAGATAGAAGAGTCTAGAAGGCAGTATTTTAAAAACAGTGATAAACATGAAAGTAAAAAATAAAACTAAAAAATGGTAGCTGTTCTCTAAAAGTAGAGTGTTTAAATTGAAACCAAGCAAATTTTCATTTGCTTCACAAGGGAACAATTGCAAAGCAGTGTAAGTTAGTTGAACCTGATAAAAACATAAATTCTGTCCTTTCTTCCTAGAAGACATTTGTGTGTTGAAGTTGATGTCAGTTCAGTTTCTCTCACAGCAGTGAATTTGAACGTAGCTCTCCATCCAGCCAAGGAGGAGAGGGCAAACAGGCACTGAAGGATTTGAAATGATGTTTTCTGGCCTTGAGAAAATTTGTTGGTTAAATTAAAGAAAGAGCAAAGCTTTCCAGGAGTGAACTGCTGTGGTTATCAAAGGGTTGGGGTTTATCCTTTCCCCAGCTGTCTGACAGCAGACTGCTGTTTGTATGGTTTCAGCACTGCAGGCTGGAGGTGGACTTTGAGGAGGGATACACCAGGGCATTTTATCTCATCTCTTTGTTTTCCCCTCACGCTTTTTCTCCAGCAGCCCAGATGTACCAGCCCTTCACAGACCTCTTCACCTCAGACCTGTTCTTGTTGCTTTACTGAGCATTTTACATGTTTGAGGGATTTTTCAGTGGAGCAGTCTTTATTCACTGCAGAGTGGGCTGTGAGCATAAGGAATGAATGTGTGTTATATATATATTTTATGGAAAATAGGAAGGTGATTTTTTCAAATGCCGATGTTTAAATTCATTGGGGTTTGATTTAAATATGATATGTTTAAGGACAAGGTGTTTTCAGAGCTGTGATACCAAACCTGACAGATTAATGCTTTGTTTCAGTAGATCTTCCTTCTGTTCAACCAAAAAAAACTTTGCCCAGTCAAGTGTTTGGGGTGTTTCAGTAGTTTCAAAATACAAATGGCAAACTTTTGATCAAAGAAGAGAGACTTGGAAAACTTGGATAAACTTGCATGTTGAATTTTAGTTGGCTATTTATCCTGAGCCATCATGCTGCATTTAGTGCTAAGGGATTGGTAATGGGACGTGAGAGTTTGTGATATGCTGTAGCTTGGAGGGTGAGATGTGCTAAATGAAACATTAAAGAGTTATTCTGTGCTTCATTCTATCCTAATGCAAGTTGTCAGTTAATTTTTGTGTGTGTGTGTTGGAAAAAGCAGAAATGTATTTTATCAAACTCAGTCATTTGTAAACACTTTGAACTAGAGCAATGGCTTTTTTTCTGCAGTTAGGTTAAAAATAGTATGTCCTGGGGACAGAGGAAGCAGCTGTGTTAAAGTATCTGAGTATTGCTACATTTTCAGGATTTCTATTAATGATATAAAGTCAGTTGAAATGACATCCATTGCATATTTGTCCAGGCAAGTGGAAAAGAAAAACAAACAATGTGGTGCTAGAGAATCCATTAGAATCATGAGTGTCTCTGCATGTCTTTCCTACTTAGAAGAGCTGATAGCTATGTACTGCCTCAGTTACTCTTATCAATTGGAGCAACACTAGAACTGTAAACTTTGCCTTCTAGTATATATTCTTATTCCTTTTGGTTTGTAGTTCAGAAGTGTGCAGATAAAATATGCATCCTTTTCAAATAGTGCATGCTCTGAAGAATGCATAATTGTTTTTTAAGATGATATTAATTGGAAAGGAGAAAAGCTAGACCTCTGAGCAGGTAAATTTATTTCATGACTATAAATATTCCTGCAGTAATACAGACAAATTTTCCCAAAGGAGAATGTAACTATAGATAAAAATGGATGATATTTAAGTCTTTTTTTATTACTGCTTATGCTATTAGAATGCCAAATGCTGCAGTGCTACACTATATAGCTTTTCACTTTGTCTGGGAGTAAAAGGTTAGAATTTCTCCCCTATAGATATTTGTTTGCCATCTCTGCCAGCATACACCATGAGCCAGGTTTGTGTAATAAGCTTCCAGAAAAGAATTGTTGGTGTGGTAATCTACTGTGTACTCATTAGCACTTTTTCTTTTGTCCTCTTGTGTCTTTTGCTAACCTTTGTTTTCTAGGTATCTTCCCAATTTATTCCGGACAAGTCAATTAAAACTTAACATAAATGTTAAATGACTGTTACAAAATACCATGTTATATAACTGTCATTAACATTTTAATTAGTTTCATATAGTTTTAGTAATAAACGTGAATTGTTTTTCCTCCTAGTTTTGGACATGGCCCGACACGTCCCTCTCTACCGAGCCCTGTTGGAATTACTCCGTGCCATCGCATCTTGCACGTCGATGGTGCCATTACTGCTTCCTCTGTCCGGAGAAAGTAGCGAAGAGGAAGAAGAGCAGTTGGAGTCACAAGCTTCTGTTGGGACCTTGTTAGCTAAAATGAAGACCTGTGTAGATACCTATACCAACCGATTGAGGTAACTGTTCTCATTATCACAGCCGTTATGCCACTGTCCAGACTGAGAACATACCTTTGTCTTTACTATGTATATATTCTAATTTATTGTGTTACTTACTAGCGTTTTTTTTCCACGACACAAATAAGTTGGTGGGTTTCATACTTTTTTTGGAAGGAGGACTGCTGCTTAAGAGTCTAGGAGCTTCACATTTCAAATTTCTTTTTTCAGTGAGGACTTTACATTTCCTGCTGTCAGTCTGAAAGCAGGAGCATCCTTGGAAGCTATTTAAACATGCCCATTCTGTAAAGGGTGAGATTGAGGAGGATTAAATGAGATGATATTTTTTTACCAGAAATGTCACAGGTTTCTTGTATGTGCTACTGTGCTCCTTTATCCATTGAGTAAAGATTCCTCAGTGGATACCCGTTGAGTAAGGATTCCTCAGGGGATTATCTGTCAGAGGCTAGAGAAGCCTTTTTGGGTTCTGTCACAAAGTATAAGATTAAGAAGGCAAAAGACTTAGCTGTTATTTGTGGTGAGAATTCTACTGTGTACTGCAAGCCTAAGATAGCTGAAGGTTTTTGACTAGCATTATCTGTTGGCACTACGTATGTAAAGAATGCTTCTGCACACGGTGATTCTACAACAGTTAATCTTTCCATTAACATGAGCTTTAGAGGTGAGCTGGTATGCTGAAGATGATTTGAAATTACAAATGAATGCCCTGGAGCTGTCTGTGCCAGGTTTCAAGGTCTTCTACCCTTTTCCAAGAAACTCCACGCTTGACAGTTCTTGTCAGACACTCCTGCAGTCTGACAGAGCCATTAACAAACAAATGGAAAAGTGTCCAAATATCCCTTCTCTGCAGTGATGCTATCTGGCTGCATGAGGCTTGCAGTATAAAGCCATACAGGCTTGTTCTGTGCACCATACAGAGTTCAGGGGACTTCTTAAGGAAAGTTATGCAGCCAAGTCATAAATGACAGCTTGTTTCAGTAAGACCAGTCTCTTGGTACCACCCTTTATTATTGCCTTTTTAAAAAGCCAGTAATAAATACAGATTTTTCCACAAAATGTGGGAACTCAGGCTAATTGGTAGCTGCATTTTTCCTTGATGATTCTGCTCCACAGTTCTACTCTATGGTTACATGCCAGTTTTGCTTTATCAGACCTGGTATTCTTGTCCTATTATCTGTCCTAGGCTGGTTGGGCCATGGATCTTAACAACAGTAAGGTTTAGACCAGCAGTCTTTTTCCTGTTCTGTTCAGGAACAACCAGTACCTGTATTGCTAAATTGTTTTTCCCTTTCTGAATTCACTCTTCTGACAAACTGCATGTTTTGGATAAATATAATGCCATTTTGTATAAATCTAACAGCCTGAACAACTTAGTTTTGTCTTTCTTTCGGTTCTTTGCGGTTTCTGGCTGTTCTGTTTCAAAGACCAAGCCATCTTCTCAAAGCAATTCTGAGTGATCAGATGAATTTGATCTTTGATTCTCACACTCTGCAGAATTCTGGCTTATCTTCTGAAATTCTGCTGTCACTGAACCTAACTGTTGATTTACATGAAAGGTTGCACTTCTGTTATGGCTCACCAGGCAAGCAACAAGTGTGAGAAGACTTCGTTTAAATCAGTTGACCAAATAAGTTGGTGCTGTGTGTGTTTGTTGCTTGGAGGGAACAGTCACTGGACTGGCACTCACAGAAGCAAGGAGCTCCTGCATGCTTCCCAATCCCTTGTGCCTCTGGCAGGTGCTGGACTTGGTACAGATTTCACAACCAACTTTTCATCTCTTTCTGGAGATGAAAGCCTTTCCAGTTTCCAGAGCTGAAGATTTGAGTATGGGTTTTTTTGTGATGGTTGAATCAGCTTTTTATGCCCTGACTGAGGGAAGTGAGAGAACTGAAAGGCAAATGCTGCAGTTCAGATTCCCATTCTTAATCTCTTAATAATTTTCTGCCACCAGCAGTTAAGAAGTTTCTTAGGTTCATCAATTGCTTCCAATATGAAGTTGGCTCATTAAGAAACACTATTCATATTTGCCTGAAAAAATGAAATGACCTCCCTAGGCATATGCTGAAATATCATGAGACAGAGATAAATACAATATCTGAAAAAGGTGTATGTAAAATATTTTTCTCCCATTGTAAACTGAGAACACAGGCCAATTAGTACTTGAAATTTTGAGCAGGAATCCTATTATTTGGAATAATTTCTAGTAGTTGCTGATGGGCTTAATTTCTTGTGAATTTCTCTTCTCCTTTTTGACTTAGCTTTCTAGTCTTGCATCAAGCATGTAGTACCACAGTGTGATTTTCTTGCTGACTTAATACAAGAGAAAGAGAGTAATATTACTTTATGTTCGATATCTGTCCAAGAGCTTCCCACTTTTGTGGCAGTCATAGGAATATCAGTCTATGTAATCCTCTTAAAATAGGAAAGAAAATTGTATTTGGCTTCTGTGTAATTCATTTCCAGTATAAATACTTTCTTGTTTTGTTAGTCTGGGCATCTGTTGGGTAGTCTCAGATATAATGGGCATGGAAACCTGTGCCTTCTCATGTTATTTCCCTAAGTTAAAGTCTAAAAAGATTCTCTGTGAGAATAGCACTTGACCATTACTCTCATAAACTCTTTTTCGTTTTGATGAAATAAAACATGGTACTAATAGTTCTTTAGTGTCATCTTAGGATCTGAAAATGAAGAATAATTCTTTGGGCATAGAATTATTGTCAGTATTAATAACTGATGATTTTTTTTTTTTAAATGTAATTGGTTCAGTTATATTATCTATATGCCTTTTGCTCATTGGTTTAAGCATAATACTGTTTGTCTTTAAAGCTGTATAGCTGTATATAAAATGGAATGAAAATACCAACAGCCTGGACAGCCTGGAATCATTGGAGTGGAAGGTTTTCGTTCTCAGCCTTTTAGCTGAAGGTTTGCCAGCAATATAAGCAAGTGTTGGCATGAATTACTTAAATGGGACAATCTGTTGCCCTTCTTAGGTCAAATGCCATAAGAACAACATAATTATGGGAGCTGCTTTCAAAGACAACATTTTCCTTTAACTTGCATGTCTACCAAATGTCGTTTCCATGTTGGAACATGACTTCCATCCAAAATTCAAAGGGAACAGTTTGGTTTTGGGTTCCAGTTAGCATTCAGTTTCATTATCTTCAAATGCCATAGTACTGAATTGAAAAGTCAAGAACCTTCTGGATAATGGAGAAGATGTTTAGGAATCAGCCGCTCTCATGGCTGTTGGTCTGATAAGGAGGCAAAGCCATCACTAACTGCAGTGCTTCCGAGAGGGTTGTCCTGAAAGTGAGTTTGAGACGTTTGTTCTTCTCCTGTCCTCTGCTGCAGAGAACTCTGTGCAGCAAAGCAGGCATGTATGAACAGCCATTTACTTTGTGAAGTCTGTGGCAAATGCTTCAGTTAGACAAAATAATCTGATGTCTGATTTGTGTAATGTCGAACATAGCAAGCCTATGTCTAGAAATTCCTAACTAGAAATGCTTTTACTTTCCATGACACCCAGGCCACCCAAGTGGTCACTGCTTCAGGAAGACCTGAATTCCTTAGTCTCATACACTTCTGTCATTTGTCATTCTGCTGCTAAGAGTTAATGCAGCACAGTTCCAAGATGGTCTGAAAGTATCTGACCCTGCCTGTCACTCTGCTGTTGGAGCTCTTTGTTTTTTCTGTTGTGCAGAGAAGTTAGAATATAATCCGCTGAGCCTGCAGCATTTTCCCTGCTATAGCTTTTCAGTGCATTGACTGATCTTCTACAAACTTCTAAATGAAACGGTGCATTCTGCAAATAACAGTTTCCTTTCTAATCAAGTCCCAAGAATTTGGGTGTAATTATTTAATTGTTGTTTTTTAAGAGACAAAACCACTACCAGTTTTTTCTGGGGAACTCTCATGTTCAGGGTTCATGATTGGTGGCAGGGAGCAGTCCTGCAATCCTTGTTGAAATCTTCAATTTACAGTCTGTAAATACAGTACTTGAAGCACCTGAGGATGAGTGTGCGGAGCCATCTCAGAGGAGGCTACTAGGCTTTCTCAGTTCTATTTGCAAAGGCAGGTTCCCTTGTTTGTTTTGCCACATTTCAGGATATTGGTTTAAAAATCTGTAGGTTACTGGAAGGAATGTGCATCTATTTGGTGTCTGGCATTAGGGCTGGGTGATACCGATCTCATGGCAATTTAATCACAACAAAGTGTCCATCAGTATAAAATGGAGTAGAATTCTGTTCCAAGCAACATCTCTGCAGTACAGAATGGTTCACTGCTTTTATTTTGTGAGTAATTTGATAAATGTATCATTCCATATTGTCACGTTTACCTCTAAGTACCTGGCATGAGTGAGTAACTCTAAGTATTGGCTTTAAAAATTAAAGTTGCCTTGGGAGTGTATCATTCATTATTCATTTAGCACAGTGTAAAAAGAAGGATGTCATCTTCCAGCACAAGCTAAATTAATGGCTTAAATTATTAGCATGTACACTGCTGTCTTCTCTAGCAAATATATTAATTACTGTCATCCTTTTAAATATGAGTTGACAGGATATTGTCCACTTTTCCTTCAGTGGGTGAAAAACTGCAAGGCAAGTTTCTAAGTCCTAATTAAATATTTGGCTCTTGCTTGACTCTGAAAATTGTAACATTTAAACAAAGGTTTGGCCTGTGTTAATTAACTGATGCATTTTGCTGCATACACAAAATCTTGGTGGAAAGAAATGCACAGCATAACACAGACATGTAAATGTTTTCTAAAAATAGATAAGATACAGTTCAAAACAGTATTTTCTATCTTAGTTTATTATTCGAATTATTGGTTCTTCGGATACTTTGAAATACTGAAAAACTCAGAGCTCAGGACTGTGGTAACGCTGCTAGTTTTTATGTGTGCATAAATGTGTGTGCAGGCTGCTACAGTGCAGGAAAGATGGAAGGATCCTGCTGTATTTATCACTTCAATTTCAGTATGATCTCCTCATTCATAGTTTTGGGAGAGCATCTGCAATTCTTAGCAACTCCCTCTCCCCAGCTGGGATCTCTTTGGCCTTCTGAGACCTGTGTATGACACACGATATGGAGAGCTGCAGCTCTGAGTCCTGGCAGAGTTGCAGCAGCAGGATAGAGTGGAGATGGTACCAAGAAGGGAGGACAATGTTTCTGCAGCTAATAATTTGTTCTGCCCGTATTACACATGCTCACAGATGGGAGAATACTTCACCTAAGTGGGTTTCTTTTGTTAGGACACAAAATAATATCATGTGTTTGAGATTATATAAAGATATAGGTTTAGGGACCAAAAAATGGTCTTCTGTATTGCTGCAAATTTGTCCTGAGAGCAATGTTGGCACTGCCCTGAAAGTCCTGCTTCTGACCTCCAGCATCAAACCCAACAGAATCTTGTTGCAAGTATTTCTTTCTCAGGCTCCATGCAGGAGACCGCTAGGCCTCAGCAGGCCACAAGGTACTCCGGTGTTCTGTGTTTACTTCTGGGTGTACCGAGTCCCCTGTTCATCAGCTGTATGTGAACCCCATTCAACTTTCCACATTTTGAGCTTTACGTTACGTTTGTTTCATGCCTTTTATAGCCATTTCAGGATGGAAATTGTTTATGTGCCTGGGTTTTCCACGCCAGGGAATGTGAACATTCTTGTTGTTACCTAAGGTGGGTGCATGGACCAGATGCACACCTCCAGCAGCAGTTCCAGAGCTTCCATATGAGATTTAACCTTTTAGTGTACCTAATCTATTTTTTAATTGCATTCATTAAATAGTCATAATGAACCATTTTATGAGGATGTGATTTTTGAAAGGGCTGCTGTGATCTTCTGCTGTAAAATAACCTAAAAGTCAGCTATAATAGTGCACTGACAATGAAATTCATTTCTGTCTCAGGAGGCAAGTGATGACAAAACTCTGTGAACTTCAAAAATTGTAATCAGTGTATATCAGAAAGTCTGTACCACTGGGGAATCCTTGACAGACTTCCCCATCTGGAGACTAGGGAATTGTTTGATTTACCATATGTTGGTTGTAAATAAACTGCAAACCTAAAAATCACTGTTAATATCTCCAAGTAATTGTGTAAATAACTGAATATATGTATATAAGGTAGTCCTGAAGCAGCCTCAACTGTGCAGGATTAATCACAATAAGCTGATATTCTAATCTAGATACCAATAGATTTGAATCAAGTAAGGATAGGAAGGCAAAATGAGGAAAGAAATTTTTCTCCAAGATTTTGTAGTAAAAGTATAAGAGTTCTACACCAACAGCAAGCACTGCTAACTGTGTACACCTCTCCTGGAACTGCTGCCTGCTAGTGTGTCTGAGATGTCAGCTATCACTGAGGTTTAGTGAACTCAAATACACATATCAAATCTTAACACGAGCTATTTAAAAAATCTTGGCTTAGATTTCCACAAGGAAAAAGACAGTGATAAGGACTTCAGATGGTGTAAATGAGAGAGGCAGCTGCTGTTTTTTAAACTGTTTCTTGAACTCTGAGTTGTGCTGTTTGCCTTCAGTGCGTTCCTCCTGACTTGGAGGATCTGAAAGCTCAGAGTTGCTTGAAGTCATCAATGGGCTAACATCAGATTGGATCAAGTCTGGAACACAGAAACTGTATCATGCTGCAGTAATGAATTTTGTTATTAGTGTGCTCTAGGGATGTTTTTATTTTATAAGGTATGGTGCAAAGACTTTTGTTATTGATGTAATCATCTCTTTTGAATACTTTAGAGATTAGTTATTTATGCATTATTTACATCTAGTTCAAAATAAAGTGTATTGTAACTGATATTTATCAATATATATGTTTGGAACATCAAAGCATTACATTGCTAATTCTTCTTGCTAAGGTTGCTTCTAGGTATGGTAGTGGGAAAGAAAGCTGCTGCTTCTTGACTGTTTATCTTGTTTAGATCTTCACCATAACTTTGTTCATTTTAAGTGATGCAATGCAGAGCAGTTTCCCAGGCTGCTCCTGTAAGGGCAGGTTAGGCTGAACACTCAGTTCAGATTACATTTGGAGTCTGTATGGAACTGAGTCAGTGTCCATTTTTATTAACCATCTGTTCAGTACAGCATTCTTTTCTCCACCACACATGCACCATGCCATCATCTACTGCAGGAGCAGTGAGTCTCTGTGGGTGTCGTCACCTCTGCAGGGAAGCATCTCTGGTGACTCACAAGGTTGTAACCTTCAGCACAGTGCAGACCTCAGGTTATAGGCTATTGCAAAGGAAGGATCTTTCTGGGATCCTGAATCCTTCCATTTAGTGAATGAGGATTTTGAATCTATCCATTTAGTGAACAAGGATCCTAAATCCTTCCATTCAGTGAGCTAATGTGACTTGCATCAGAACCCTGCATTTGTGATACTGCTTGGAGAATTTGCAGTTGTTCTGTGTTCTGGTGGGTATAGAGATATTTGAAGAAGAGTCCTCCATAAAGGAGAAAGAGGACTTGAATTCAGTGATCCCTATGGTTCCCTTCCAATTCAAGGTAATCTGTAAGTGATATTAAAATATTTACAGAAGACAGCTGGGAGGATGAGGCAGGGAGTGCTCGTTACCATTAGAATCTCTAAGTTTTGCAGTATAACAATGTAAATTTATTCCAGCTCTTAAGTGTTAAATTCTGAAACAGGCATAGTTAATATTAAATATAACATCTTCATTTCAGTAATTGAGTATGCTGCTAAGGACTGAGTTATCACAATCAAAATATATAAATATGTTTGTACATCCACAGGTCTAAAAAAGACAAGGCTAAAGCAGGGGTAAAGCCCGATGCTTCTGATCAAGAACCAGAGGGACTGACACTTTTGGTACCAGACATCCAGAAGACTGCTGAGATAGTTTATGCTGCTACCACCAGTTTACGCCAGGCAAACCAAGGTAAAATAGAAATACTTTTATTTGCTCATTGACAGATAATTTAAAATTGGTTTAAAAGCAAGAGAAAAGACTTCCCCCCAGCTGCAGTGACTGGCTACATTTTCAAGTGCAGCTGTCTGGAGCTTTGCATTAGTCTTAAATTCTAAAATCAGGATATAGAATAAATCAAGTTAGAGGACATCTCATAACCTTCTGCACCGTTATGTAGTACATTGTTTTTCCTGTTAGAAGACAGGAGATATAACCTATAGTAGCAAGGCCTTTGCTATTAAAGCTAAACCTTGTGAATTAGCATGTTTATAGGCAGAACAAAAATCTGAATTGTGGATTGAACTGCATATAGCCAACCAACCACCCGATTGTCTAGTAAAGAAAACTAAGGAGAAGTGATGTAATTAGTGAGAATGTGTTTTGTGAAGGAGTTTATAACCAGCTCCTGATACTGGAGAGTGGATAAAAGAATACTCATGGCAGGACTGGTCTTGAATTATTCCTGAGCTGAGATAACCATCTTTATTTAGCTGTTCGGATAATGAAAAGTAACAGTGAGAAATGTGGAGATGGCTAAAGAGGTTAAGATCAGAGGCAGCCTGGCCTGCAGCAACCATGCCCTGGTCCATTTAGTGATCTTAAGGAATGTGGGCCTGGCAAAGACTGGAGTCAGGACCCTGATCTTCAGTAGAGCAAACATCAGGTTGTTGAAGAAACTGTTGGAAGAGATCTCTTGAGAGAAATGTGCTTAGGGATAAAGGAACAGAATAGAACTGGCAGCACTTTAAGAATGTGTTTCTGATAGCATAAGCTCTCCATCCCCCAGAATAAGAAATGAGACAGAAGAGGCAGCAAATCAGCATAGCTGAGCATGAAACCATGACCTCAACCCTTCCCCATACTCCTGTTGCTGTTTAAAAGCCTTAAATTACTACTGCTGCCTGGAAAAGGGAAAAAAAAAATAGTAGCTGGAGCATCTTTCTCCTATGATGAAAGGTGAGGGAGTTGGGATTGTTTAGCTTGGGAAAGAGAAGTCTTCAGGGAGACCTCATCATGATCTTTCAGTAATTGGAAGGAGCTTACAAGCAGGAGGGGGGCTGATTCTTTACACAGGTAGATAGTGACAAAGGGGTATGGCTTTAAATTGAAAGAGAGGAAGTTTAGGTTAGATGTTCGGAAGAAATTCTTCACTCAGAGGGTAGTGAGGCAACTGGCACAGGCTGCCCAGAAAAGCTGTGGATGCTCTAAGACTGGGCTTGATGGGCAGTCTGATCTAGTGGTTGAAAATTCTGCCCACAGCAGGGTAGTTGGAACTGGATGATCTTTGAGATTCCTTCCAATCCAAGCCATTCTATGATACTGTGAAAAAAATCTGTATGTTGTGAGTGATCCCCAGTATTCAGAATTCTTTGCAGATACTGTAATCATAAAATGTCATTTCAAGATAAATAATCCCCAAATGTTTGGTGTATTTGCCCCAGAATTACATTAACTACAAATAATCATCACATTTTATTTAACAGAAAAGAAGATGGCTGAATATTCCAAAAAAGCTGCTGTGAAGCCCAAACCGTTGTCTGTTTTACGCTCTCTTGAAGAAAAGTATGTGGCTGTCATGAAAAAACTCCAGTTTGGTAGGTTGAGAAGTGTGAATGTATTTTAGAAAGCGTGTGCATAAGAAATAATCTGTTGCAATGATACCATGATTATATTTTGAAATAATTTTAAGGTATTTTTAAATGATACTTTTCATACATGGAAAATTATACAAGTCGGTATTCTCAGGTTGCCAGCTAATGTGGTCATTGAACAAATAGGAAATGTGTTACTTTATCTGTGTACTACGTGAATGGAACCAGTCACAGAATTCAGATATGATGTTCATATTTTCTTTCCAGTACTCATTTGTGAGATTTTCAGTCCTCAGATTCTATTGCAACATTAGTTCATATATAAAAATACTTTTGTTAAAGCTTTTATCAAGCCTTATTAAAAGTACATTTTTTAAAAATATGGCTTTTATTTTTTAAATGGAATAGAATTCAGAAGAAAACGTATTAGAGTAAAATGGAACTGTCGCAAACTTCATTCTGTGCTGTTTTGTGAAACTCAGTATGTTGCATTTGGAAAACACAGTGAGAATCAGTGCTCATTTTGGCCATAAGAGAATGTGTTTGAAGAAATTAATGAAGAATAGTATCTTATCCAAATAGAGCTGTAAAATTATTGCAGAAGCGTATTTATGAATATTTTTTGAGTTGCAGTTACAATATTTGCAGTCACATTTATTTGCTGCTGTGTTTGTAAGGGATTTTCCTCACAAGTGTTTGTGGAGTTGTATGCCAGGAATAGGCAGGTAGGAAAGTTTGTAATGGCAGCTTCTCATTCTGTCAGCCAAGCTGCAGATTTTGTATATTAAATGACTAAAGAAAATTAACCTCACTGTAATTTTGTATGATCTTCTAATAACATTTGCAACCACGACACAATTAAATGCTGTTGGCACTAGTAGCATTATTATGTGTTTATAAATACCATTATATTCCTGGCCTGGAGAAGCTGGTAGCCTTCCAAATCAGAAATGGCATACATTGGACAAGTTGCATATGAGAGCTTGTAAATTTGCTGCAGGAGTTCATTTAACTCAAGACTGGTAATGCTTTGTTTTTTGAGATCACTGTTAATTCCCAAATTGCACATTTTCTTGATACACATTTCCTGATTTTAAAACTCAGAATCTTCATCCAAGACTGATCTGTTATTAACTTCACTCTTTTCCTGAGGCTTTTCTTTTTTCTTTTTTTTTTTTTTTCCTCTTCTAGATACATTTGAAATGGTTTCTGAAGATGATGATGGAAAATTGGTTTTTAAAGTAAATTACCACTACATGTCTCAGGTAAAAAATGCAAGTGATGCCAACAGTGCTGCCAGAGCCCGACGTCTTGCACAAGAAGCTGTGACTCTTTCAACATCACTGCCTCTCTCATCTTCATCCAGTGTTTTTGTACGTTGTGATGAGGAGCGGCTTGACATTATGAAGGTAATGTTTTTTTTATTTCCCTCTTTCAGCTCAGTATATAAAAAGATACAGAAGTATTTCATTTGTACTTCAGTTGTTATCTCAACTTCTAAACTAATATAGTTGGTGGTATTTTAGTCTGATGATTTTTTAAGAACTTGATGGGCATCCGTCTACCAATAGAGGACTTTGTTAGCGAAGTAGACTTAATAGGACAGGGTTTGTTCTTTAGCCTCTCTGAAAGGAAAAATGTAGTTTTGCTACTCCATTGCAGTCAAAAGTGTATCTTTGTATACTACGTTATTAAGTCAGTTAAAAACGATTGGTATGGAGAAATACACTGAGCACCTCTTGTCCTGAAGCTAGAAGGCAGACATGTTAGCACCTTCTGTTTTGCTTTCCGTTTGTAATCTGTAAGGAGAAATGGACATTAGCAGGGGATCTTCAGTTATCTAGACTACTGAAATGAACAGACTGATAGCCTGTATGTGAGGATGATATTTAATAATAATTTCTGATAAGTTGTGTTTGGAAATAAAAATTATTCCCGTAATTTGCAGAAATCTCAACTGGATGACAAATATAAGGTTTCTTTCTGAAAAGTGTCTTTTTGCTTTCTTAACATTGGTAGGTTCTCATTACTGGTCCAGCAGACACCCCTTATGCAAATGGGTGCTTTGAGTTTGATGTGTATTTTCCACAAGATTATCCTAACTCCCCTCCACTTGTGAATCTGGAGACAACTGGAGGCCACAGTGTGAGATTTAATCCAAATCTCTACAACGATGGCAAGGTAGGTCAACTTTACTCTTGTGAAACTGATGGAACTTCTCCGTTTAAGTTCTTTAGTGGTTTTGTGTCTTAAGCATGATGATTCTGATCTTCCAAGATTAAACAGTTTATGAATGGGAGGCCAAAGTACTCGTTTACTCAGCACTTTGCTTCCAGTCATGTTTGCCCCCAGAATGTGGTATGTTTTGTATTCTGGGTTTGGCAAACCTGGTAGTTTGTCCGAATGTAGGTTGCTCATCCAGATGCTTTGTGATTGTGTGTGTATGGAGACAGGTCCTGCTGTCACACAGCTGTGGCCAGCAAGGTTTAAGAAAAGGGCAAGGGTTGATCAGCAGCTTAACAGGCACCTTAGTGAAAAAAATGTACCACTTTGTGGTAAAACCCTGCATGTCTTTATCTATAACATTGCAAAGTATTGAGTTCTACTGCTACTCAGTGGTATAGCAATTCCTTTTCCAAATTTTCTTAAAACTTAAGAAAATTTGCTCATAACTGACTCTTAATTAAAATATTCAGTTGTGTATAAAAAGCTGAGAGAGGTATTGCACACTCCCTGAATTTAGAGGTGCTTGGTTTGGTGTTTTTTTTCCTCCTTTTACAATCAAATGATCAGCAGAAATGTTCTTTTCCACTTTTCTTGCTAAATCAGTCAGGCAGAGATCTGTTTAAGCTAAGTGACCCAGGATTCCTTCCATGGACAAAGTGTGTTTCGTATCAGTTGCAACTAGTTGCATTTGCCCATACCTTGTCTCTCTCTCCATGCAAAAGTGCTTTTTCTTAAAGGGAGGAAAAATTGTCCTTTATAAAAAGCAAATGCAACTCTAAACAAAGGATTGAATAACCATTTTGCTTTAAAAAATACTGCAACTTTTGGAAATTATATTAAAAGATGAAGCAAATGATGAGCTCTTCCTAGCCCGCAGTCTCCATGTTGTGGTATACCTCATTCTGAAGGTTCCAAAAACGTCACAGAAAATCAGGTGTGTACCAGGGAAATGCAACTTCCACATATATCAAAAATAAGCACGTATGAAATTCTATGTAGAACAACCAAAATGGTTATCTATATATCTCCACTGAAGACCAACAAAAAAGCTTTGACTGTACCAGAGTGGCACTCAACTTCTTTAATGCAAGATGTTTATGGCCAATGGTTTTCCTTTTTTCCACTGCCTTTCATGGTTCCCCTTGCTTACTGTTTTCAGAAGCTGTAACGTTCCTTTCCAGTACTAGACACAGAGTTTTTTCTTAACATAGACACTGAATGTAATTCAAATTTGAGAATGTCTATCCTTTTTCTCATGCTTCGCATTAAGTCACGGTGAATACTCTTATCTAGATTTCTTATATTTTGACTCATTGCATTCCCTTCTCTGATTGTTCCATTCTCATCATGATAAGGTTCCAGAACTCTATCGACTTGACTACAAAAAATTCAGATAAGTCATAAGAGTTGATAAGTGTTTTCAATTCCTTGTTAGTGAGACAGAGAGCACCTTTGAAATGCTTAGTCAGAATGATTTTCTTTAAAAACAAGAAGTGTTAGAACAGTATTTAAAGAAGAAAATAGAGCATCAGATATTAATGATTCATTCATTTTTGGAGCCACTAGAATCCGTAAGTTTTCTTTGAAGGAAAGTAATGCGTTTGTTTTGTTCTTTTATCAGCATATGATCTTCCTTATCCTCATTACTTTTATCCACTTTCATTTCAAATTAATTTCATGGGAAATAAACTCGTCTTTTGCAATGAAGTTACACAAAAATTTGCCCAAAAAAAAGGAACTTGATGTGAAGCTAACATTTTGTTCTACCCAAGCAAAGCAAATTTATTATAGTATTTATCTGTGGTATTAATCATGTGACTTTCTCAGGTATGTTTAAGCATTCTTAACACATGGCATGGGAGGCCAGAAGAGAAATGGAATCCTCAAACATCAAGTTTTTTGCAGGTGAGTATTTCTTGTTTCTCTTCAGTTTGTCACTGAGTAGTAAGTTTGTCAGTCTGAACGCTTTCTCTTTGTGATTTTACTCTGGAATTTTCTTCCTTGAGTAAGGAAAAACAAAACAGTCATCCATAAAATGTCTTATTGTGACATTCCTGTTCTGTAACTGGTACTAACCTGTTCATCTGAAATGTCTAAGCATTATTTTGCAAACAGGCTGGAATTTAGTTCACCTATGTATTAGGTCAGTAAGCAGGGTCCAACTGAGAAGCTGTATTAGTAAGTGTTGCTATTTAGAAGATAAAAAGCTGCAATAATCAGTCTGATTCCCAAGGAGTTCAGAGCATGGGAGAATTAACTCACGTCAGATTCATGAATGCAGGTAGATGTATCTACATATGAGTCTTTCAGTGCACGGTGAAGGAGCTGTGGGGGAGTTCATAACAGTTGATTGTTACTTCAATGTTATTGTAAGGATGAAATTAATATGCTGTGAATGTCCAGCACTCAAGCCATTCTGAGTTTCTCTTGAGGAGTGCCTCTTTAAGCTGATTTTTTTTTAGTCCCACATGTATACATCCTTTTGTTGCACTGGGAGCATATATTTGTATATTTGTTTAGTGATATTTGTTTACTTATACCCAGGCAGTCATATTTAGCAGCTACAATTGAGTTAAATAACTGCTTGAATTTGTCAGAAGCTGGACTGAAAACTCACAGAATACAAAACTCCCAGATCTTGTCTTCCTTCAAATATTTTCTTGTATTGGCAAATGCTGCAAGGTTGAGAAAAGCTGTCTCACCTATGTGAGGATCACTTTAATGCAATTAAAAAAAAAAAAATCCAAATTATACTTCTGAAAAATGTTGCAACTTTACAATAAAAAACCAATCTTGTCTTATCTGGCAAATCCTCGCCTCTTTTACGCAGAAGTTAAATATGAATAGCTGATAACTTAAAACTAGTTAACTTTCATAATAGGTGTGATCCGTCAAATACAAAAAGAGTTACATCTTACTGATTTCGAAAGATTGCCTAGAAACAATTCCAACTGATTCCACATTTTTTGACTTGTATGTGGAAATCAAGAAAATTACATTGAACCTGGCTGGACTGAACACTTGTAACCCAGTCCATATGGGCTCCTTTTGTTCAAGGTATCAGAGCATCCAACTTAGACTTTTAAGGGAGCCTGAGAGCATGTTGTCTATTTTGGTACTTCGGTGCTCTTGTAAGTGTGGAGATCAATCCTCATAGAGTCTTACCTATGAGATTATCTTACTCAGATTTTTTCACCACTTCACTTTCTTCAGCTATAAACCATTCCATAATGCCAAGTCTTACTGGTTAATTTCTGTAGGTTAACTGGAGTATTAACATACTTGATCCTTAACTACAAGCTTTTGATTGCAGGCAGAATTTTTTTTTTTTTTTTTTTTTTTTATTTATTTATTTATTTTTATTTATTTATTTTGAGGAAAGTTTCCAAGCTCAAAGATCCAACAAGTGATTAAGTGAATAGGATCAAAAGTTTATGGTGGGGATTTCTCTGCCACTTAAGATGATGTGGATAAGATCCATGTAACTGCTGTACATATTAATTGGTTGCATAGTACCTTGTTTGCAGCCACCTTTTTATGCAATCACGGCATGATGAGCCACTTCAAGTTACTTAAAACTCACTGGAACTGCTGCATAGTGTTAGACTCTATCAGTGTGATTGTGCAGAAGTAAGTTGCCAGTAAGATTAATTCAGCTGTGTACAGGCAACCTATCATCTTAATGGCTCATAATCATTTGATTTACATAGTTGTCAAGTGAAGCAACATCCCATTTATTATATGAAGAAATCTAGACCTTTAGACTTCCCTTAATTTTCTCCTAAGTGGCCAATGGAGTTGTTATCCAAGTTTAAAATAGTAAAAATAATGGAAGATGCTATTTTTATTCTAACAATACATAAAAAACCAGCAAGCTGCTTTCAGACATGTGATATGCTTTCCCCATACACTTGGATTTTTTACATGTTGTAGTATGATCTTTCAGTAAAACTCAATATAATAAAGACTGTCCTTATAAAAATGTTTTGAAAGGCTGCTCTGACTGAATGCTTTTATAAGGAACAATGGCTTGTGGTTAGCAGTGAGGTAGCAGCATAGGGTGCTTACAAGTGCATTTAAGTTTTGATGTTCTAGATAATACCTTTCTATAAAAACAATGTTTGGGAGAGGTGAGCTCTCTGATTTCAATATTGGTGGGTGCTGTAATTTTCCACAGAGCCATATAATTAGCATTTGGAAATGAGTACAAAGTATAGTGCCAATTGCGATAGCTTTCACAGACAGAATGTGCGTGGTGCAAATTACCTTCCTTACTATCTCTGTAATGTAATATTTTGGTATGAGAAACTAACTTTTAAACCCTGGGATTTTTTTAATAAAGTTTTTGCATACTTCAAAACAGTCTTAATTGAAATTACTCTTGAATTGGGACAGCTCTAAAAGTACTTTGCTAAGTTACTTAGAGAATTCAGAGAAATCGGGTTTGTCTTCAGTTCTGAAAGTAATTTTGTGTCCATTCTCGTTTTGTATGTCTTGGGTCTCCAACTACAGCCAACTAGAAACAATTATTCTCTCAGAAATCTTCTATTTCCAGCAGAAGATACTTGCGCTGGTACAGAAAAAAAGAAGAGGCACCTTGGAGAGAGAGGGAGAATGGCTCTAAAGTAGGAGGGCAGGGCTGGCTTTTACACTAGCAGGAAGTGTTCACTTGAATTATTTCACTGAACATTCAGGTTTTGTTTCTTAAATTGAGCTTGAGGTGCACATACTGAAGTTGGACTTTGTGTTCTGTAGGGAGTCAATTCAGTCTGGCTTTGAGATGCTCAAAACTGAAGCATATTCTGCTGTATTTATAGTCTACCACCAGTCTTCGCTTTGGTGCTTGATTTTCTTACATATTCATGAGTGTTGGTAATCAATTATGGAAATCATATAGGGTGAGTTACAGGTGATATTTTTGTGGCTCTGAAAGCTCATTTCACTTTGTTCAAGGCTTCTGAATAGCCCTGGAACACTAGAAAAGAAACACTGGCAAATTACTCAAAATGCTGTTTTCAACCAGTATTCCTTTTGCTCTTGTCTTGAAGAGTTGCTGTATGTGCAGCTCATTCCTAGTACCACATGGACTGGCTTGGACGATTTATTTATTTATTTATCTATTTTAAGAAGACTCTAAGATGGCATCATCTACTGGAATTCATATTATGTCTATATCTTAAGCTATTTATGGTGATGATAAAGCTCCACATTCTAAGAGATGAACAATTGATGTATACTAGTGAAAAACTGTAAAGGTACTCCTGAATTCTACAAGAAAACTGAGTAGTGGAATAAAACTGAGGAGTTAAAGTATAGTTGTGCTATCTTTAGTGACAATCAGTGATAAATTAGCCCAGAATTTATCAGGACGTACTAGGTTATGATAACTGTCTAAACAGTCCTTAACATTTTCAGTTTTCTGCCATAGGAATGTGTTAAGCAATAAGCACATACATCATGCAAAATAACAACTTGCAATGATTTATTCAGGGTTCCCATGGCACTTTCTCATTTTGTTCCTTGGAATAGTTACTTCACAGCACAAGGTAGATTTCCTGTTCCAGATTCTAAAGTACTATGCAACTTTGTACTTCAGCATATTAAGTTGAAACTCTTCAGCGGAAGCGATTTCAACTTGTTCAGGAATTGGCTTTGGAGAGCTGGTTGATTAGTCCCCTAAAAGCTTAGCAATTATGTATTCCATGTGTCAAATCAAAGAAGAGTGGCAGAAAGCCAGCATGAGTAAATAAACAACTCCTGCCTGAGCTCAACTGCAAAAAGAAAGTACATAGAAGTGGGTATAGGAGGGAATGGGCTTCATGTAAGGAATATAAAGGCATTGGCCAAATGGCTCAGAAAAATCAAAGCTTAGCTGGTGTTGAAAATGACAAGAGAACCAAAGATCAAGAAGGGTTTCCTATAAGTATGTTGGCAGCAAAAGAAAACAGTGAGAAGTTGTGGTCCTGCTGCTCAGTGGATCAGAAAATGTAGTGATAGAGGACATGGAAAAAGCAGAGGTAATCTCTTCATCATTCCTTAGGGCTAAAATTTGCCTGCCCTTTTCCATGACTTCCCTCGGTCTGTGAGAAAGAGGAATTGCCCTCAACAGAGAAAATAAGTATTCAAGGCAACTGGACCTGCAAGATCATGGAACCAAATCATCATGGGAGCTAGCCAGTGCCATTGCAGATCTGTCGTCTCTCATCTTTGAGAAGTCGCAACTAGCATGGCTGATTCCCAATGACTGGCCAATCTCACACATTGTCAAGATAGGCAAGAAGGACAGTCTGGGGAGCTTACAGCTTGCTTAGCAACACAGGAGTCCTTGAGAGAATTATGAAACAAATCTTCCTGAAAGCTATTTTCAAGTACTTTGAAGACAGTAGTTAATATGGATGTACTGGGGTGATAGAGCCTAATGAACCAACTAGATGTCTACTATGAGAATCTGTCTCTGCACAAGGGGAGAGCAGTGGACATAGTTTACTTCGACATCGGCAAAACCTCTGCTCCAGTCCCCTTCAGTATCATAGCCAAATAGGTGAGAGATGGATTACAAGATAGGGCGGAAAGGTGGCAGAACTAGTGGCAGAGAGATGGGGAAGGTATAAAGAAAATAGAGCCAGATACCTCTTAAAGATATAGAGCAACAGGACAAGTATCTAATGACATAAGATGGCACTTGGGGAATGTTGATAAAATATTAGGAAGAGCTTTTTCATTATGAGGGTGACACTAGGATAAACGTCCCAGGGAGCCTGTGGAATTTTCGTGCTTGGAGATGTTAATGCTCTCTACAAGCGAAAAATATGATTTGGAAGTCTAAGTTGTAGTTCTTTACATGGTATATCTTTCCCAACATCCAACTTTGTAATCAAGAGATGAAGTTTTGAACTATAACAATAAAACTGATGTTAGATAGATATTAAGAAAGCTAATTTTCAGTGAAGTACTTTTTCTTATATGAATTTAGTAGATTTGGTTGCTAGAAATTTCATACAGCATTTAAGTTCAAAATGCTAAAGTTTTTTAGAGCTAAAGTTTGTGAAAGTAGTAAGGGAGCTGTTGGAAAAAGTTCTGTCATTTCTCCCCCCAAGACAAAAACACTTTGTAGATTAAATAGAAAACAGCTGGAGGGTGAAATAAATTGCTTGGAAAGAATTAAGTACTGCATGCTTTTTTTCTGACTCAGAGATGGAACTATTAACAGACCACCCAAAAACACTCCAGCAATTGACTTTACTGACCCAAATTAAACTGGAATATCAGTTTAGAGTTTTTTACTCATTACAATTATTATACATTATAACAAATGCTTATTAAGGCCAAGAAAGTACTGTGCTGCATATAGTCAAATTTCTCTACCATAGCTATTTAGAAATTATATATTTAAAATACAAAATTCAAAAAAGCAAAAACTGAATTATTTCCAGACACATGCAATGACTACGAAATCCACAAATCACTACAACTCCTTAGGTATCTGAGCTGTTGGAACAGAATTAGATCATTCTTTTCCCTTGTAGTGTTACAAATGACTATTTTCTTGCTGAGATCCCATTTGTGCAGAACATTCTGTATATTTTAATGTATTTATCTGCATTTTTACTTTTAAGTGTAAAGGAAGATAGCCATGGCTACTTCTTCTATGCATGGCAGGGAAGGGAGGCAATATTTAATTTTCCACCTCACCTCAAACTGGAGAACTCTAGTTTACATTTCCCACTACACAAGCATGTGCTCTGTCCACCATGACAAGGCTTTGGTGGGCTAGATTGCCTGTCTGTACTACAGTTTGAGCACATCAAGTATACAAATAGAAAGTGTCATGGCATCAAAAGAGCTAAGAATGTGGTTCCATGAGGTGGCGGTGAGATTAACTTAGGTCATTCAACTCCTTCTTAGCCGTTGTTTTGAAAGAACTTACTGTTCAGACGTTGTGTCTTTATAGTCAATAAACATGACAGAGAGAGTGTGGAAAGCTGAAACGTTTATTTGCTCGTGTTGCTACAAGAGAAAATCTGTGAGAGTGCTGCTCCTAAGCACAGAGCAGAACTACCTGGTTGTTGGGGCACTGCCTTCTGAGAGAACAGCTCTTTGTTGCTGACACGGTATCTATCTGATGTAAACTGTATGTTCTGCATGTTCCAAGGAAAAGAGTGACTCCTTTCATACAGATTTGCAAACAAGACTCCTAAATAAGGGGATACTCCTAAGCTTTAAGTTATATCTAGGCTGGGAAGAGAGTCAGTTCTAGAACATTTGCACGGACCTTTTTTTTTCTTTTTTTTTCTTTAATCTACTGCAGCGATGCCTCGCACCTCAGTATCATTCTGAGGCATGTAATAAGAAAGGATCAAGAATCTTTGATTTAACTTGATAAATTAGCTTTCTTTCACAAAAGGTTGCAATTAGAAATGCATTGCTTTAAATGCTTTATTTTGCTTATTTTTATATATTTTTAACTTATTTTTTACATTTTCTATGTGTTTGAACTAAATTCGCAATAGTAAGCATTATATTTATAATGTGTAGTAATGGTTTCCGTTTAAAAGCACTGACATTCCCTACTTGCAAACAGTCTGTACTGCAAATAAGAATGCTTTGTCATAAGTGTTTTCACATACAAGTAAGCAAAATTACGTATATTTTTAAAAGCACGTGAATAGCAGTTCTAATACATATATTTTTTCTTTTAACAGGTATTAGTATCTGTCCAATCTCTTATACTTGTAGCAGAACCATATTTTAATGAACCTGGTTATGAACGATCAAGAGGTACTCCAAGTGGTACCCAGAGCTCCAGAGAATACGATGGAAATATACGACAGGCAACAGTCAAGTGGGCAATGCTTGAACAAATCAGAAATCCATCGCCATGTTTTAAGGAGGTGGGCTTTGTGAAACTAAATACCTTTTTTGTGTCAGAATAGTCAAGGAAACTCATCTTGTAAACATGTTCCTGTTCACAACTGCTTTTTAGTACTAAGGATCACTGTTCAGTGACTCTTTCCACTGTTCAGTGGCAATGTTGAGAGTGATGCAAATACTTGGAAGCATGTCTTGCATGAGGTGTCTGGTTTTTGCTTTATTCTTTTTATTCTCTGGCACAGCTGACACTGGAAACGGAACAGAACAAGAATGCACCTGGCACAGATCCCTTTCTGCACAGATCCCTTTCTGGGAAAGGGCTGTGTAAACAAACTGGAAGTGACCTATAAGTCAGGTTTGGTGCTCAGGTTGATTAAAGAATGCTTCATCTAGGTTGGCTCATTCTTAATGCGAGATGATGCCTTTTACATCCAAGTGACAGCTATTGATCAACCCTAGAGTGGACGTTCAGTCTTTGTTAATCAGCTTAGGTAACAATGAAGTATTTTTCTATGAAACATGAATGTGAAGCATTTATTAGGAAACGTTTTGGATACACTAAAACAGTGCAAATTGGAAAAATACTTCCAATTTCAGCCTTCTCATTATTCATTTAAAAATGCCTAATTTTTTGCCTTTGAAAAGAACTGTCTTGCTGTTGATAGAACAGTACTAACCCTCATCCTTTCACACTGCCTTAAAAACTTCCTTGAAAAAAACTAAAATGTTTAATTTTTTTACTTGCCTGAAAAATAGAATAAAACTCACTCAGAGTATCACGGAATAACTTAGGTTTTAGGGAGCCTCTCTCATTGTCCCTCGCCCAATTCCATCCCCAGAAGTGAGTCCATTTAGGTTGCTGGGGTTTCAACATGCATGGCAAACAACTCCAGAAGAAAAAACGTGGAAGTTACATGAAGTAAGAGAATCTGTATGACTACTAATGCAAAATGGTTGATCAAACAGTCCTTGCACAGTGCTACCAGCCAATGGTTAGAAAAAAAATGTATTTTGCTCTTGACTACGGAAATTCTTGCCACTTCTAAGTTGAGGTGTGAAACTGTGTAGTAGCATCACCTGTGCTTTCCATTGTTTGCATGCTAACATACCAAAAAAGTATAATTATTTTAGGATTATTCACATTAGTATGTGTGACATCTGAATAGGTGGGTAGTCTCCCATGCCTTCCTTATAATCCATAAAAACATCCTTTGGAATGCAGAAAGCTTTTCCCACTTAAATTACTCAGTGTCTTACAGAATGAGAAATCATGAACATTTAACCTGTATAAGAAGTTAAGTGTTCTGTCCATTTACAGATGGAAAATGATGTGCTATATACTGTGGTGTTTTGTATTATTGCAGAAAAACATGGTTGTCATTCTAAGCTATTTCTTGTATGTTTTACTTAGTAAGTTGAAGACCATGATAGTGCCATGACACCTACTCAAATAACTTCTGCTAGTAGGTACTTTCTTATTTTTAAATGTAACAATTGCACTTTTGCAAAAATTTTCTCCAGTTGTCATCACTTAAAGTTACATGAAGATGTTATGAGTTGGTGAGCTCTGACAAGAACATGACATCTTTCTCTTCCTCTACATAGAAATTAAGGATATATAATTTACGGTATTTGATTACTGAACCCCAGTTTGCTGCTATAGCACTTTTGAAAAGAATCTTAAGAGCGTTACGTGATTATTTTGTAGCTTAGGTTTTTACTGCTTTCTATGAAAAAAAGCTTGTAAGCTGACATCCTGCTGCTCTTCAGGAAGGTAAAGTAATAAAGTGCACCCAAACAGTGTTGTTTCAATGGAAAAACAATCATTCCATGAGACCAGGGACTTAGCACGTCATTACCAGAAGACAGATGTTGAAAACAATAAAGCTACTAGCTTCCTAAATGCAATATTTGTCACTAGGACTGAGTTAAACTAAACCACACAAAATGTAAATGTGAAGTAACATTAAGAAGCAGATACCAGTTTGCAGTGGTATCTTGGACATTTGAAACTCCCATCTGTGAGCAGATAACAGTTTTGCTGCAGAGAAGAGAGCTGGCTAGCACTTAAGAGCTTTGGATTCAAAGCTATTTTGTTCTGGTTTAGATTACTGCACACATTTCCCAAAGTACAATTTTCATTTTTCCCTGTGTTTTCCTCAGTTATTTTTTTTTTCTTCCAGATGCTTTTAGGACTCTTTAGGATAGTACGATTAAATCCTCAAGACTGTGAGAATAGATCTAAAGCTATGATATCTTGCTTCGAGATGTTTGAGGCTAACATAGCTTGCATGTGTGTTAAAAATACAATCATACACGATTAAGCATGGGGTCATACCTAGTGCTTTACCAACTTATGAGAACTCCCTCTGTGCTTGATTGAGTATATACCCCCTATCACTGAGAAAAGTGGTGTTTATCTTTCTTTACATAGCACAAAAACAAAAGGAGATTATGCACTGAGAAACATTACATTTTTCATTGATGCAGTAGCTGAATTCATTGGAAGAATGCTACATTTGGTTCGTAGCCTGTCCAAATGAAAATAAGTTCTCGGAGCAGATTATCTGAGTGTTTCTCTGAGAGAACAGCTTGCTGTTATGAACTGTAGGACTTTGTAGGGTTGTGTTAAGAATGATTGGAACAATTACAATTCAGCAGTACATTAACACCTGGAAGCTTAGTCTAAGAAAGAATATACATCCTTCCACTCGCACTACCTTCTGTCTTGGGCTGTCTTCCCTTCTGTGTCTGAAATGACAAGAAGACCCAAGAGATCTAAACTGTCAGTCTGTGGGAGTTCTCCCAAACTCCATTATGGATATAAGGAACGCATCCAGAATTGGAGTCTATTAGGCTTTCAGTATGCAGTTTTTCCTTAGACGAATAGCTATATTCTCTAACCTCTAGAGGGAGAGATTATTTTCTCAATTATATTGCAGTGTTGCCAAGAACCCACTGTGCTCAATAAAAATTTCTGTAATGTTATTGTTTCTTTCACCAGGCAGAGTTTTAAAAATCTTTTTAAGGCAAAGCCAACACTAGAGTTTCATAACTTTGTATGCTTTGTTGGTGGTAGGTTTTAGTTTGGGGAGGAGTTGTTTTTTGTATTATTTTGTTTCTTTTTTAAACTCCACCTAGAAATACCAAAGTTTCTGTGTGATCAAATACTGGCTCACAACATGGGTGCAGCTCAAGTACTATTGATAGGGAATTGTGGTGTCCTCAATGATGCTGCTCATGCCTAGAGAATGTAACTCTCATTGTTTATCTTTCTTACAAGCTGGTAATTCTTCTTCTCTATGCAGAAGCATATTATTTTTCTGTGCTTAAACTGCTCAAAGGGTTTCTGCTCATCTGCTTTCTGTTCAGCCAGCAAGCAGTCAGTAACGAGAGAAGATAAGGTACTTATTGAAGAAGCATAGGTGAGAAGTATAAAACAGGGCAGTGAAAGCAACAGTGAAAACCCTAACATTTTATCTTGTATCCTTGCACATATGTTAATGTAAGTGCACATACATAGTGCCTGCATGGTAAGATCACCTTTGGACTGGAGAATATCTGACATTCTGCTATCACTTTGCTGTTCTGCCATTTTACAACTCATTGTTCGGTGCTGAATTGTCCTTAGAATGTTCTGGGTTTTTTTCCTTATCCATTTGGACTCACAGGGCTCTTGCACGTTTTGTATTATTTAAGTATATTGGTTCTTAGATGAAAACCCATGTTTTTTCATCCCAAATATTTTCTTGCAGGTCATCCACAAACATTTTTACTTGAAAAGAGTGGAGATCATGGCTCAGTGTGAGGAGTGGATTGCAGACATACAACAGTACAGCAGTGACAAACGGGTAGGCAGAACTATGTCCCATCATGCAGCGGCTCTCAAGGTGAGACTTGCTTTTATCCAGAAATGACGAGTAGCAATTAAATTGTACAACAGCTGAGTTTTCTATTAACAATATCTGAAAACCAAGGCTTCACCACTGTCAAAAGCTGAAGTGTAAGTGCAGGCCACTTTTTCAGTTTTTTTCCTACAAGTAAGATCTTTTTTTAGTTCTTGTTTTGCCAATTTCTCCATAAATATTTATATAATTTCAGTTATAACAGTTTCTGTCATGATCAGAGAACGTAAATGCATCTCAAATGCAAAAGAAATAGCACAACATTTACACTGATGCCCTCGTTTGCTACAGTTTTATGCACTGCCTTTAGTTTGTCGTCAGTAGCACCTAATTACTGTCACTAAAAGGAAAGCACCAGTCCTTAAATGTGAACTGTGAGAAACCTTTATCCTGGCAGTGAAATAAGACATTAAAACCTTTGCTACTTACTCCCTTTGTTGGCTTCTGTTCCCTAAAACTGTGAGAAGTTCATGTTTTAACTCTGGTCTGTAGCACTGACTACTTCTCTCTATTTAGCGTCATACAGCTCAGCTGCGAGAAGAACTTCTGAAACTTCCCTGTCCTGAAGGACTGGATCCAGACGCTGAGGACTCCGTGGAAAAATGCAGTGCCACGAGTTCAGAAGAGACTGTGCTGCACGAACAGGTGAAACCCAGCAGCAGTAAAGATATCCCCACTGATTTCAAGTTATGAGTTGTATTGACATGGACTTTCTAGACACAAAGGCTTTGAAGCACAAGCCAAATATGTCAATATTTGTATGTAAGAAGCTAATTATGTAATAGGCAATGAAACTGAAACTATACTATGCCCTTACGGATATACAGTTTAATTCAAGATGATCTTTTATTTACCTGTACAAGAGTGTAAACTTTTTTGTGCTTTTATTTTTCAATTGTGAGAACCACTGATTGGTATGTTTAAAAAAAGTTATGTATACAAGAAATGGATAAATCACTGATATATAAGGGAAAACTACCTTAGGAAAGAATGTTTACTGAATGTTTATTATTTTTTTTTACTTGTAGAGTGAGGGCGGTTGTAACAAAGAATATATATTGGTCATTCTTACAGCTACTATTTAAAGTCAGAAAATTTTCACTGAATTTGATAGATTTTACGTTTGGCCATATATTCATGCTCATATTTGATTCTAAAGAAAACCTCCTGTATACTTCAATAAAAGTTAAATGGACATGATCCCTCTTTTATGATTTACTGGTACATTTTTTAAATAAACTGCCATAAAATACATTATAGCTGAAAGCTTGCACTTGTATGACTGAATTCATTGCAGTCAACATATTTAATTTTATGCTTACTAATTCTAAAATGCAGTTGAAATAAATGCACATGGTTTTACCTCATGCCAAAATCTGGACTTCTGAATTCATCTTTTGTTTAGCTAATTTAAGCAAGCTAACAGTGTTCTAAATTTCTTAAGGGCTGTTGTGGAACAAAGTCTGTTTTCTGTTGAAATGTCTGATTTTTACATAATAATAATAATAATAATAATAATAACTACTTTAAGTACTGACAGGCTACTGATGTGCCATGTAGGACACTTAACGTTCTGTAGATCTTGCTGCATAGGCTTGGTTCTGATTTTACTCTTGCAGCCACAAGTCCCTACCTAAAAAGGGATTTCCATGATTTAATTATCAAGTCTCGCTTTTAAAAATTAAGTGATAGTAATGAATGTTACATTAAGTAGTCCTTGAAGGACTAAAAAGATAATAGTGGCATTACCTCAGACTAAATGATCTGTTGTATTGATAATACTACAAGTGAGGTTAAAAAAAAAAGAAAATTCTCTACTTTGTTTTCTATTTGTTCTTTGCTTGTAAGTATCACGCTGGAATTTTTTCATTTCTTGTTTTACAGTGTATCATTCCTAATCATTAAAAGTGGCACCAACTGAGGTTGTGTTCTTAAGCTGATGGTGAACAGGCATTGATAGTTCTGTCCAAAGTACAGTTTTTCTGTTCTTTTGATACGTTGTGTTATCCCAGGGTCCATCCAGGTATTACATAATTCTCAAAACATCAGTTTACACATTTCTGTGCTACTACAGGAAACCCTTAAAAAGGGAAGCAAGAAGCTCTGTGCCAGTGTTACAGAGGTAAGTGTACAAAAGTTTCTGCCATAGTCAACGTTTTAGATCGTTATCTGTGTTAAAACAGCACTGTGTTTCTCTAGGTGGGTATTTACTTACCTTTTTACTGTTGTACAATAAAGCTCTGGTATTCTCATAAAGGCTCCAAAAGCAGAACTGCTCACAAAGTAGCAACTACGTTTAAGTTAGTGATTTCTGTTAAAGCTCTTAATTTAGTGTTTAAACCATCTGTCTACAGGAGCACAGCATTTTTATAAAATCCTGGTACTTGTACCAAAAAGAAACAGACCTAAAGATCCACCTTATACATAAAAATGTATTTTTTAACCATTTAAAAAAAAAATTTCCACAAAAAAACGCACCTGAAATACAAAGCACCTAACTTGCATTATCTGACTTTAAAAGGCTGTATCATTTTCTCTTAGAGTGCATTTATGGTACCACGGTGATGCTAATGTGAAGTCACTGCTGTTAAATTAAGCAAATGCAAACAGCTGCCTGGGATATTAAAGTCTAATTTGTAAATGCATACCAACTTTTCTTGCTCCAATTTGAGCACCACAGAGCAGTATCATACAAATTAAAGCAGTGATTCCATCATTAACAACTTGCAACTGTGTTACCATGTAGTGAGTAGTATTTCCTGGAGCTTTGCAGACAAGAATGCCAAGTTTTTCTCTGATTGCTTCAATCTACACCTGCTACCAAAGAGAGAATGGCTCGGCAGCCATCTATGAGACCTTGTGCTCCATGAGAGCAAAGCAGTCATTACAATAATCTCTACACATAAACAAACAGTCACTCTGTTTTGCTAATGTAGATGCAATACTCACCATATGCAAATGTGAATGTTACCTCCATAAGATTTATCAGTTTCCTTTGAAATTTCCTTTCAGTAGAAGCTGTGCATAAATGTAGGAATTAATGCTCATCTGTAACTACCATAGTTGTACAAAACAGTGGCCCTGCATGTGGCAGGGGGGTTGGAGATTCGTGATCCTTGAGGTCTATTTTATGCTCTCAGATGCTCTATTTTATATGCTGTGGCAAAGAAATTGATAGGTAAACCACCCTATACTTAATTTACCTTGTTTACCTGTAAATACCTGAACAAAAATCTAGCTGACCTACATTTAAGGCAGGACTTAGGTATTTACCTGGAGTTTCTCTGACTTGTCTTCCATTTTCTTCCCTCCATAACGCCTTACTATTTGTGTGTTTTGCAAGTGTTCTTTTATTTCTTTCTTTGTTTCCCCAGAAGCCAATCACCATCATGTGGACATCTCTCTGGACTGTCAGCTCTCTTTATCTAGAAAACAGAAATTAGAAGGATTTTTCAGTGAAAAGGTGATGCATTTTTATACTTATAACCTGAAGAATAAGGCACAGAAGACATTCCAAATCCATGTTCTCAACGTATTATCATATACATGTGTATATAGTTATATGAATAAATAGGTCAGGTCAGGCAGTCATTTCTTTTTGAAAAACAGTTTTCCAAGCTCTATTTTTTCTCTCTTTTCCCATAAATTCTTAACATAAGGTAGAGCATGTTGGCATTTATATTGAAACATGAGCTTTCTATGAGTACAATAAGCTGAATAGGTAAAAGAAGTTTAACATTTTCTAAAACTAATAAATAGTAAAAACATTTTGTTCTCTAGAGCCTGCAGTTGCCATTGTTTTATTCTTTTGGAATACAGGTAGAGGAATTATAGTATCTACTCGCTGAGTTACTATAGTAAAACTCCAAAATAATCTCACTACTGCCTGTTTTTAATAACAGCTCAAAGAAAACAAATCCCAGCACACAGCGCTTTATCTTGACTGAGATGGCTCTGCATATTGTGACCTCTCATGTCTACAGGTGATAATTTTTCCTACGTCTCTTGACTGCTTCTTTACATGAAAATTACCTATATTATCCGCATTGTTTAATAATATGATCTCAGCTGTGTAGATAGAGGTCTTTTCCAGCCTTAATGATTCTTAATACTAAGATCATCTATTCCAACTGTCCACCTACCACTAATAACCATGGCCCTCAGTACATCTACCCTTTCCTTAAACACCTCCAGGGATGGTGACTCCACCACCTCTCTGGGCAGTCTATTCCAGTGCATCTCCACTCTTCCTGAGAATAAATTTTTCCTATTATCCAACCTGAACCTCCCCTGGTACAACATGAGTTACCCTCCTGACCTACTGCTGTTACATGGGGGAAGAGGCTGACCCCCACCTCACTGCAACCTCCTTTCAGGGACTTGTAGAGAGCAATGAGGTCTCACCTAAGCCTTCTCTTTTCCAGGCTGAACAATCCCATTTCCCTCAGCCACTCCCCATACGACTTGTACTCCAGACCCCTCACAGTTTCATTGCCCTTCTCTAGACACGCTCCAGGCCCTTAGTGTCTTTCTTGTTGGGGAATGGCCCAAAACTGAACACAGTATTTGAGTCTCACCAGAACTGAGTACAAAGGGATGATTATCTCCTTGCTCCTACTGGCTGCACTACTTATTATACAAGCCAGGATGCTGTTGGCCTTGGCCACCTGGGCACAGTGCTGGCTCATGTTCAGCCAAGCATCAACCAACACCCTCAGGTCCTTTTCCTCTGTGCAGCTTTCCAGCCACTCTTTTTCTCAAGCTTGTAGAATTGCCAGGGGTTGTTTGGCCAAAGTGCAAGACTGACATTGCGTTTTGTTGAATATCATCCCACTGGCTTCGCCCCAGCTATCCAGCCTGTCCAGATCCCTCTGTAGGACCTTCCTGCCCTCAGATGGATAGACACTTTCCCCCAGCTTGGTGTCATCTACAAACTTAGTGAGGATGCACTCAATGCCCTCATTCAGATCATCAATAAAGATAGGGTAGGCCCTAATACCAACCCCTGTGGAACAATACTCATGACCGATCACTAGCTGGATTTTACTCCATTCACCTCTCTGGACCCAGCCCTGTAGCCAATTCTTTGTCCAGCAGAGTGCATCTATCCAACCCCAGGGCTGCCAGCTTCTCTAGCAGAATACTGTGGGAGACAGTGTCAAAAGCTTTACTAAAGTCTACATACACTACATCAACAGCGTTTCCCTCAGCTTCCAGGCTGGTCACCCAGTCATAAGAGATGAGGTTGGTCAGGCAGGACCTGCCTTTTGTGAACCCGGGCTAGCTGGGCTAGCTGGGCCTGATCCCATGGTTGTCCAGCACATGCTGTGTGATCTCACTCAAGATGGTCTGTGTCATAACCTTCCTTGCCAGCAAGGTCAGGCTGACAGACGTGTAGTTCCCTGGATCGTTACAACCCTTCTTATAGAAGGGATCACATTAGCAAACCTCCAGTCATCTGGATTCTCTTCAGTTGACCAGGACCACTGATGGATGCTGGAAAGTAGGTTGGCAATTATGCTCACCAGCTCCCTTGGCACCCTCACGTATATCCCATCTGGCCCCAAACTCTAAACTGGAGGCTAATGCTGGAGGTAGAAATGTTTCTGTAATTCATATAGCAAAATCTTGTATTTAAGCTTGTTTAGTAAACAGTTCAGAAAGGAAAGGTATCCATTCTGTATCACTGACCATGCAGGATATTTATTATCATAACTCACAGTGTTATTTTTAAAAACCTTTGGGAGGCTTTCCTGTTTTCAGTGCTGTGCTCCATACTTGCAGCTTATGCACTTCATGCATTTTTTTCATTTGTTCTTCATCTGCAGTCATTATTCTCTTCCTCACTCATAGACCCACCCCCACAGATACATATGCACAAAGCCTTCAACAATTCATAAACTCTTTGCATAAAGCTCTTAGGATAAAGCAACCACATCCCAGTTCCCCAATAGCAAACTGAGGAATACATTTTAAAAAAATAAAAGTATTTTCCAACCAGGAAACTAAAGAAAACTAAAACCACAGATTTAAAAACAAAACAAACCAAAAAAAAAGACTATTTGTCATTATTATAGACTGCCTCTATTGTTTTATTAAATATTTTCTTATTTACCAGAGCAAAACACAGCCTTTTTTCTCTTTTCCATTTCCTTTCAGATGCTTAAACAAGTTTGTTATTTGGAAGTGGAAAGTTGGCTATGAGGGTAAAGGCAACAGCCTTCTTTAACTTACTCCTAAGTAATGGTTTAGAAGTTTCCAGAAGTCCTGTTCTTTCACCTCAAGTTTAAAAGCTTATTTTCAGTCACCAGCTCCTTTCTCCTTATGCAAGTTAACCACAACTGTATCAAAGCCGACTTCCAGGACAGCACGCTTTCTGTCTGTCAAACCTCCTTTGAAACTGCTAGCAATAATGATGTTATTTCCACAGTTACCATTTTAAACAGGTCCTAAGGAAGTGGCAATGAGCTGGACATCACACTGCCATACAACAGTCCTGGCTGAAGCCCAGAGCAGCACAGTTCTAAGCTGAGTATGAGGACACATCTTTTAACACTGCATGAGAGGTACAACTGCAGTTTATTTAGAAAGTAACGAGGCCTTAATTCATTACATACACACAATCAGCCTAGCCAAGCATGGGCATCCTCACATTATGGAAGTCAGGAGGCCAGATGCACATGGTTGGGAAGCATTCTCCAGGATGCAAGTCACAGCCTTCATTCTGGCTGTAGCTACAGTTCAGGCTGTCCCAAAAACCTTGCAAATGTTTGCTGGCAATGAACTGAACTGCGGCAGTGATTCAAGAGGGGACAGAAGTGACATTATCATTTTGGTCCTTTTCAACCCAGGCCATTCTATGATTCTGTGATTATATGACATGGCAGAACAAAAACTAATAGCCAACAGCAGGATTGCTGAAAAGGAAATGGTACATCTGCCAACTGGGCCGATCCTCTCTACTGCCAGGCTGTCAGTGCAAATCTCAGCCGGGTTTTGAGGCAGTTTCAATCAGTGAAACTCATCACGATATGTAAAATTCACAGGGGCTGGCCTCCAGATCAGCAGAAGTCACAAGAGAAATCATGCAACCATCTGGCTGGCTGAATTTTGCCATAGTGTGGGATTCTGGATTAGTCCCAGAGCGTTTACAGTAGCCGCAGACTAGCAAAAGAAAAACTCTTTCCAGAGTCAATTCAACACATCTCCTGTCTGCCTCACGGTCACTAAAGGCAGCAGAGCGTGCAGCTGGGTCGCACAGACATCGAAACACCACCTGCTGTCATATGGCTCCCTGGGAGGCTTTAAATGTTGGCAACATGATGAGAGACCACCTCATCCGTATGACAACAGGGAAGATGAGGGGGGAAATTACATCTGAGTGATGATTTAGCTCAATACAGATTTCACTCTAGCTTAAAAATAAATATCTACCTACAAGTGCATGCTCAGTCACAAACAATTGCTGTTGATGGCACCAAATAGAGACTGAAGCAAAAGTACTCCAGAGAACAAAATATCTGTTTGTATCTGTACTGCCTACTGATGTGTTAAACCTCCTCCAGCTCTTTTCTAGCCGTTCCTCTAAGTAAATCATTCACGTTAGAAAACAAATGGCCAGATGAACAAATGACATACGGCAGGGAACTAAACATCAATAACCAATATCAGAGGAGAAGCCAAGCCATTTCAATAGAGAAGAGGAGAATGACAGCACATGGCTCCTGATTAACAACTGTTCAATTCAGGAAAGATGGTTCTATCTCTCAGAGCTCTCAGGAGATCCATATTACTAGCAGAAATCAATGAAAGACAGTGCTGAAATTTGAAGCTTGAATTTAGAGAACTACAACAGAATTCTGTGTTATTCAAGATTCTATGTATGCCTAATGCAAGACATGGATTAATCATCTGAACAAAAATAACAGTTGCTATGGCTCCTTGTAGTTACAAACAGCTTCTGATAACACTGTCTTCCTGAAAATGTTAGTCTAATTTGTTTGAGTGGGTTTTTAATTATTACTTAAAATACTCTTTCACTTGCTAATACATTTTCAGGCTCAGAATCCAACAGCAAGTGATTTTATATTGCCAAGTGTGCCTTCAAACACAGTTGCCCAGTCAGTGTCACTGAGGACAAACCATGGCAGTAAATTCATCCAGTTTTCATTTTCCCCTGGTAGCTCATTTTTCACATTTCAACATACTGAGCTTTATGCATCAAAGCTTCACTGAGACACCAGAACAGCAGTCAGTGCCCTGGTATTCATTGCAGCCTGCAAGCCCCACCAGTCAGAATTTGGGGTCAGAATCTGTACGGCAGATCAAATTGTTCTACACCTCCTACCAAATACTGCATCCTGTGAGTGACAGAGGGTTTCCATGCAGACTGAATTGCCAGCAGTGTCTACCTCAACCTTTGGCTTCTTTTTATCAGACTGAATTCATACTGTTGGTCTTCTGGAGAAAATGACATTTTTCCTAAATGTAAGTATTTAAGTGGTTTGAAAGTTTTTGCCTTAATGGCCTTTGAGTTTTAGTTCATACGGAAAAGAAAATATTTTTGTTATTTTAATATGTTAATTAAAGATCAAGAAATTTACTAGCAGCTGAAAAAGCAGGAAAGTCTTTTGTGATTCCTGTCTATAAACCAGGTAAAATAACAAGTACCAACTGTAGAAATTTTTAGGCCATGGCCTCTCATAAAACACAGATAAAAATTTAAGTGTAGATTCAAAAACATTAATCAAACTGGGCTTACCTATTTGCTTCCATTAGTGTCATTTATTTCCACATTTAGCAATGTGGAAAGCGCCCAGTGGAAATACCAAAAATCACTTTGACATTGACCCAACCTGAACAACAGACCCATCACCAATCACACGATTCTTGTGTCACCATCAAAACAACTGCGCTCTTCAGTGCTAAGCTGCTAAACCCAACACTTCACAAAGCTTGCGAAACAGACCGATATTTTTCGAATCCATAAATAAGAAAACTACTGCATACTCACTGTGCAGCTTCAAAATACTTCACCCACTACAACTGCAGTAATATTTTTGTATGTGTGAACACTCCTATACTCACCATATTTATGCAAACAAGAAATAATAATTGTTAACATCTTTTCATCTTCAGGGTATGAGTCCCATAGCAATGTGTTGAGAAAAGCTGCCATAAATTTATTTGCACAGATAAAATAGAAGCCAATATTTTCAGGAGAATACCAGGAAATTGACAGTCTATAAATACCTCCAGAGTTCCTCAACCAGCGTTATTTTCTCATCCTAGTTTAGATCCTTGTATTAAGGGAAAAGACAGTTCAGGATGAAGACAGTAGAGACATTGAAAGTGTCATTTTAAGGCACATATAAATGCTTTCCTTAATTAACATGACTTTGCCCTTCATATAACCATACTGTGTAGTAAGTCTTCTGCCCAAAGTCACTTGTATCATAGAATCACAGAAATGATGACAGAAGGGGCAGCTGGAGGTGATCACTGCTCCTCCCCAAACAAAGCATCAAGTTTCCCCAGCAGCTGTCAGTGGAATATGTCTCTCCTACAGTTTTGGTAGTTTGGACTCTGCTTCAGGCTAATTGCCTTCTCCCTTTTGTCTCTAGTCCCAGCTACATTGCAGTGTTACTATGGACACCCTACATTTATAGCTTACTTCAATTACTAGATCATTTTTATTTGCTCAAAAACCAAACCATTTTAAAATAGATGAAGAAAATAGGGAAGAAAACAGAGCAAAGGTCATGTTGCACTTTAAAAAGTCCAGCCGGTTCCAGCTTCTCTCATGGTTGCAGTAAAACCATTAATCATAATAAACTCATTTTGTCTAAATGCAGAGGTAATACATTTTTCCATGTAAATCATTTCATTGCCGTGACAGAATGATGTCAGAGAGTCTAAATAGCTGATCTAATAAATTTTCCTTTAGGAACATTGTTTAGCACTAAAGGTTAGAGTGGGGAGGGTCAGGGAACAAGGGGCAAGATTGATGGCAGCTGTTGGTAAGAAAGATTTGGTTTTAATTTTCTTAAGATAGATCCAAATACTACATTTACACAAAAGCATTTTTATAGACTGAGAAAATGTATAAATCTGGATATTGCAGCAATAAGAACTAATATCTTTCTAAAAGAAAAATACAGCTCTAGGTAATAGCAAGATTTTCAGGAATGTATAAGAGATAATAGAAAAAAAAAAAAAAACCTTAACTTTGCAAGCTTTTTAATATCATTCATCTGCTTAAGGACTATTTTTGATATAATTCAGCACTCCACATTCACCATTTGTACTCACAGACTCATACACGTGGATCAACACTTTTTTTTAGGCCGTGGCCTCTCATAAAACACAGATAAAAATTTAAGTGTAGATTCAAAAACTGCAAAAAATCTGCATCTGATTTGACTGCATGCACAGAAATGTTTCAGTAATGATGCAGAAACATGGAGAAAAACAGCATTTCATTCCCCACCCCTCTACCAAAAACAAATAGAAAAAAAAAAATCGAACTGCACTTCATACTTCAACATAAATGTGACTATTTGCTGAGTCCTACGGCAGCATGGGAGAATAAATATACATGTTGCCAGCATGGAAAATGAACAGCCTCAGATGAAACATTAAAAAAAGAAAAAATCAAAGCTGTTACTCCCTATTTCTTTGCATCAGATCTCTCCAAGTCAAGCTTTGGAAGAAATTACTGATTTTGGTTTAGTTCCAACTATTTTTTTCTATTTGTCCTTTTTTTCATTTGAGTACCTACAGATGAAAAACTGTTTCAGGTAGGCTTAATCCCTACTCTTTACTGCAGCACTGGGTACACTCAATAATGACAACCCTGCTGCGTAGAGAACAGCAATTCTTTTCTTTTCACACATAGTTGATCTAGTGAGATGTGTGCTACAAGCCACACAGATTGCCTGCAAAGAAAGAAGCAAATCTCCTTTAAAAGAACTATTTCATATACAGATAATACAGAAAGCTGGATAACCCCCAGAGTTTTTCCAGCTCTTACAATGGTGACACAGACTCTAATGAGCTCTGTAATTGTAGCTCTCTCCTTCCCAGTCAGCTCCTTTAAAGCCAGCTTTTTGCAGAGAGGATTTGCACATCTTCTCTTATAAACTAGATATTTCAAAGAAACAAATACCATCGTCCAGCACACCTAAATCTGGGTAAAAGAGAATTAACTAAATACAGATTTGTTCATTGTTTGTTTATTTTCATGTTTAAATTATACTTCAGTACCTGACTGCAAAGGAGATGCTATTTTGTCATGGCAGTTCTTCTGGCAGCTTGTTAACCAAGATGGATATTTGGATGCCTTAATCATCCATTTCAACCTGACGCACGCTGGATAGCAATGTGAGACAGCATGAAATATTCTAACATATCACTGCTGCAGGAACAGGAGAGGTCCACTTTTCCTCTCTTCAGAGCTGCACTCCTGCAGCTGAGCTGCCATTTCCAACCACTGCCATCACGGTGCCATCCAATCCAACAAGAAACTGTCTGTAAAAGAGAAACCTATCAGGAACTGGAAGCTGCTAGTGGAAATGTTCCTCAGCATCAGAGCAATCCCCACAGAACGGGCAAGGCAGTGTCGATGGAAGAATGGCAGGAGGGAAAGGCAGTGAGAGCTCCTATTTTCTGGTGCAGTTAGGTGTTTGACCAGCTCAGGTACTCACACAGGTGCAGCATCAGCTCTTCCACCTTCCTAATTTTTAAACTGACACCGTAAATGGCAGTTTGCGTCTCTGTAAAACGTAACAGTAAAGTTTGTTTATGGATTTTAACAAATCTATTAGGTAATTTGAAATGAGTTTCTCAGTGTATTGAGTGTAATCTCTTCAGCAGTGACATTTATTTATTTCTATTCACCTTGATAAGTAGACTAATTTTAGATTCCTCTAAACATGCTACAAAACATCTATTTGGATAAGATTTATCACTAACGTGCCCTTGCACCAGGAAAACCTTAGTACATAGTGCAGGAAAAACGAAACACCAAAACAGTGCATCCATCATCAGTAGAGCATTTCCTAAATACTCACAGGAAAGAAAGAAAAAAGATGCCTTTTTCCATGAGTCTGCATGCTGTCACGTGGTACAACAACAACCACAACAAAAATGACAACTCAGGGAAATAGAATCTTTTAAATCATTTTTTCTACCACTAAGAAAGACATGTACATCATTCTTTGTATTTCTATAGTTGTATGTGTATGAGAGCCCACTGATCAAGACAGAAAAATAAAATCAAATAATTCTGCTTTGTTTTCATAGGGGTGACATGGTGTCTTTCCTTCTGAGGTATTCTAGTATGCTGTGTCAATTTCTTGATGCTGATAATGGAGAAAGGAAAGGAAATCATTTCATGTGCAATATCTAGTATTCTGGATAATCTGTAGCTGCTCATCTATTCCAAGAAATCCTGGAGAATGCTTCCTTACTTGAGAATTACTCTAGTAGTCAGGACCTAGCTGGAATAACTCCCCTGAACTGAGTCTTTACTGCTGACTCTCAAGAGACACAACAAATCATCAGATCTGAAAAATAAGGATCTTCTAGAGAGCCCAGTGGAGGGCCACAAAGACAATTAGTGTACTGGAGCACTTCCTGTATGAAGAACAGCTGAGACCCCTGGGACTGTTCAGCCTGGAGAAGAGAAGGTTGAGGAGGGAATCTCATCACTGTAAATATCCAAAGTAGGGGAGTGAAGTGGGTGGACCAAGACACTGAAACAGTGGTGTGCAGCAATAGAACAAGGGATAATGGGCAAAAACTGGAATGGAATAAGTTCCATTCAAACAAGGAAGAAGTTTTTTCTTTACCGTCAGAATTACGGAGCACTGGAACAGGTTGCCCAGAGACACTGGGGAGTCCGTTCTCTGGATAGTCAAGACCTGTCCAGATGCCTTCCTGTGAGATCTACTGTACGGAACCTGATTTAGCAGTGGACTGGACTAGATGATCTCTATAGGTCCTTTCCAACCCCTACAATTCTACGATTCTGTTACTCAGGCACATGAATTCCTCTTACTGATACATTTAAGACTAACTCAAGCGCTGTTCTCAAGTGCTGTTTCTCCATGTGACTTTATCAATTTATAGATTTTTCCGTTAACTTACTTCACTCTCACTGCAAGAAATATAACCAACTTTTCCAGAGTTTGCATTATTTTTTCCCTTGTATATTTTCCTTGCTCATTCAAGCGTAACTACTTTAAAAGTTCTCGTCTGTTAACGTGAAGGCCTTCACTTCAGACAATGTAAGTATTGTTTACTATCTACTTCATGCTATCTACTTCTTTTAGTTTCCACAGGATTTTCTTGGTTAATGGTAACAATTGCATTATTTTCTTTAAAATAGTACCCTAAATAAATCTTTTCCAATAGCATAGTGGAAATGCTAAGTCATGGCTTGAACCAGTGATGGAGCACCTGGGCTCCCCACGTGCATGTAATGCCCCTGAATGACCAGAAGGGGTGGAGCCAGGATCCCTTCCCAGACCTCATTTAAGGGCTGGCAGTGGAGGCAAGAGTATTTTTCTGGAGACTCTTGTGTGCTTGAGACCTTCTGAAGGTAAGCAGCTTCTTTCCTTTATTTCTGTGCCTTCTGCTTTTGTGGGGGTTTTTTGTGGGTTTTTTTGTTTTGTTTTGTTTTTTTTTTTGTGTGTGTGTGTGTGTTTGAGTGAATCGTCATTCACTGTGGCCTGGGACCTTGCTGCTCTGCTGTCACTGTTGCACTTCTCACTGCATTACAAATATATAAACTATTTTTCAAGCTCTTTGCCTCTCTTCTCCTCTGAAGAGAGGAATGTAACCTAGAATTCATTAATTGGGAAACAATCATTCATTCCAAAGTTATGCTAATGTGATGCTTAAATGATAGAGATGAAACTAACACAAATGAAGAAGGCAGTGTATTTGCATTTTGTATACTGCATTCAGTTCAAGACCAGACTGCAGATGACAACTCTGTATTGCTTTTACTTTAAGAAAACTGGGTTTTTATACTTCTTTACTCCTTGACATTGATAAAGGCAGTATATTTTTAACACTTGTACTGAGGCCCATTATCATGTAAACCTATTGCTAAAAGCTGACAAATTAAGCCTGTCAGCCCTGGGTGTATTAAACTCTTTCTAATTCCCTCAGCCTACTACATGCTGAAACCAATTGCAATTTTTTTTTCTTAAGCTCCCAGCATTAACACAATTTCACATCTAGTGTATGCAGCATCTGCTAAAGCAAAGTTTCTCCTTCCTCTGTTTCTGTCACCCAATGTCTGCACTGCGGAGCTGCTCTAACCAGTGCACTTATCTGCATGTTATCACCTGTGACTGGCACCTTATTTAAATTCTGAAATGGCTTGTAGATGTACTTGAATTATGAGGCTAAAATGATCTTTATTCCACCACAGTCATCTGCTTAAACATTTCTGGATAAGGCTGGATGTGCATGGGGTATATAGGGTGTGACTAGGCTTCATTTGGAAGGCTTTACTGTATTCCAGTGAAACAAAGTAAGCTTCAAAATAGAAAAGTAAATATACTGCCTGGGTCAGTATCTTCTCAAGATGTTTAACCTCAACCATAAATACTGCCACAACTTATCAGGCTGTTCTTGTTGATACCTGGCTCTCTGCAAAAAATACTACACTTCATTATTATTTTTCTTGTCAGTAACAATAACATATCTATCAGACCTCCTAAATCTGTAAGTAGAGCTCTTAGTATACATATATATATATAACTTGATGCATCCCAGTCCTTCACTCAGCTAATAACATCTACTTCTACTACTTATTTACCCTTTCTTCCCCAAATGCATTCATGCTACCTTTCACTCTGCATTATGGGCAAACTAAAAGATACTCCTTCCAGGCTTCTTGTACGAGTCTGACTTGCTCTTAAATCTCTCTTACTCTCTGCTAACAGAGAGGTTTCACTAAGATTGTACAAAGTGTCTCAGGAGAAATTAAAGAGATGTCCAAAGAATATCATCATCAATTTTGCAATCCAAGGATTCTGGCAGATCTAATTCAATGTAGAAAACATAAAAAAGCCTTCCCCTTTTTAACTCCTCTCTCTCATGCTTTCTCTCTGGCTGGTATTTTTTTTAAGAAACTTCTGTTCAAGACTGTGCTAGTACCTGAACCAAAGCAACATCCTCCATCTTGGAAACTTGAGCACATTGGCGGCAACAAGCAATACAGTGACAGACACACAAAATCTCTACAAAGCAAATAGCCCTCAATAGAAAAAGGTTTACCAGAGTGAAACTAATTATTTATGACACACATCTAAGAGCTAAACATGTTTCAGCAGTGATGAAGACAACCACTATGAAGCAATAAACTTCAAAAACTGGATTTCTTGAGGATGTATTCCACCTGTTCATAACTAAATCCTAGTAAGTCTCTTACTCAGCATGCTGCCTGAAGACAGATGATGGCTGTCTAATTAAAGAAACACATGGAGAAACGTAAATTTGCCTTTAGAAATTTAGCTTCAAAAGATAATGATGTCAACTGACAGTACAATGCCCCAGTACGTACGAGGGTCAAACAAGTATGACAGCTTCCTTCTGGTATGAGCTGAGCCAATCATGTAACTCTAAAGCATTTAAATAGAATGTTCTTAGATTCAAATAAATAAAGATAAAAAAGACTTAACATTTAAAACAAGAAAAGAGAGAAATAGATTAAATTACCACAGAAAGCTCAATGCAAATGGCTAGTGAAGGAATTTAAAATTATGTAAAACTTAAGGAAAAAAAAACACAAAACATAGGATAAAAAAGTTTGTTAGAGAAACATTTTCCGAAAGAAACCAAAGAAAGCAAAGAAAAACTGGGGATAGTCTGAAACAAGTCTGACCCAAAGTTCCCTCTGTTTAATGGACTCTACTAAAGGTGGAAAGACTTTCTTGACCTCATAGCAAATTCAAATGAATAATTCTAGGCATGCAGCAACAGGAACACGTACAGCAACATGTATTGTTATTCCACAATCCTAGGGCCAGACAAGTCACTGTGCGTAAGAATCCAATCTTCCTCATCCTTTCCTAGAAGACATCAGTATGAGTTAGAGTCATTAGTTCTATCTCAGAACTGAAATCTGGAGATTCTAGGCCATGCATTTTTATTGATAAAAATTATAACACTAATTGTGATACAGAACTAAAGGTGAACTGTGACAGTGACTTGTATCACCAGTCAAAGCAGAATTTAACCTAGAAATACACAATACTATGGCAGTGGAAAACTAGTAATAAATTTAAGTGCAAAAAGTCATATAATAAAAAGAGAAATTAAGGGACACAAAAGCATTCTGGGAAAAGTAAAAAGTTTTCAAATTTATGTTATGCGAGTGAAGTTTTAAGGATTCTGGTGATAAAACTAAATCAGGAGTTTTGCAAACACAAGGATTAGCAAGATCTGGATTCCCACTGATTTTTACCTCAGCTGACCACAGAACTGAATTGGAGTTTCTCCTCTTTACTTCATCTCTCCTGCACCCCAGGTTGTTCTCTCTTATATGATAACACAGAAGTTCTCATGCAGAACACAACTGTAGGCATCATATTTTTCTCCTATCCCCATTTTCATAATATCACAAAAAGTGTACTGACCTTAGAGACAAGTTATGCCTGTAAGTTTTTCTGAACAAGGCCAGTAGGTTCTGAATATGCTAGATGGGGAGAGTCAACAAGACAAGACTGCATAAATACGTTTTCCTGAGAAATAAGGCTAGCAAGAACAGAAATGGGGATAGACTGTTTTTTTGTGCTCATTTATATTAGGTGAGCTGTTTATATTCAAGCTTGTACAGGTCTGAGATGTTGGTATTATCCCATTATTGGGATTTCTTAATATGTTTTTATATATCATCATCCAATAAACGATAAGGTCTATTTATTTAGGCAGTGAGTCTGAACACACTGTTATTAGTCCAAGTTTCTGGCAGGATCTTTTCCCCGAGGTTAAATGGATCCTTTCCAAACTATACTTTGGCAGAGATTTTGGCTGTTCTTAGACTCATGGTGTTTCCCTCTTGTATTCCTAAGTGATTACACAACAATAAAATCTTGACAACTAATGTTTTGAATTTCAGATTAAATAATTTAAATAGTGATTATACCATTATGAAGTCATTTAAATTTTGCTCCTTTATACTGCATTATCAATCAACTAGTGTGTCAGAGATATCGAGGCTTTACATTGTCACAACAGATACTCTATAAATTCTGAGTGTGAAGGTCTCCTACAGTATGAGTGTATGTGTGTTATAATAGCTGTCCTTACCATAAATAATAGCTGAGATTATAGTAATTGCTTCAGGGTTTTTTTTTAGTTTATTTGCAAAGGCTAGCATAATGTAATATCTAAAACCAGCTGAGCTGTCTCAGTACAAGCTGAGGCAAGACAAGCTGAAGTTTTATTTATAGTAACTTAATAGCAAATTCAAGAAGTAATTTAGGTAACAAAGGCAATAAAGAATTGTATTTCAGTTCCATGGTTCCAAGGAAATTTGTTTAAATTAGCTGCTCTTCCCCCAGGTGCAACTGTGCAAGACTGAAGCAGTTAAAAGATACTGTGTTTGGAGTTCAAGCCTGAATATAGTTACAAACATTTAAAATTATTTCTGACTGTTCTAAATTAGAGACATACTACATACATAACTAATAAATATGAAGCTTGCCTGCTATTAGGCCTATGTACTTGAATACAGAGACAGAACAAGGGGTTTGGAATGCCTGAACTCTTAGTCATTAAAGTAAACAGGGGACGCATTCAAAACTCAGTTCATTTGTCAACCTGGCAGCAGCTGAAAGATTTCTGCATATGAAATACAGGAGCATCTGGCTATCAAGAATGTTTAAGACCTTGCCTATTGAACTCTTTCATCTGCTTAAATAATTCAAAATGTTAACATGCCTAAAAAATTCTGATTAAAGTTTTTGTGCATATAAACCTCAAAGCAGTAAGGAGAAGATGATACAAATGCTACTAAGCAAAATCAGCATCAGACATCCCAAATAACTGACTGAAAACCTGGAAAGAACAGAAATTTGACTGCTGGGGGAGATGTGGGGAAAGGGGAGGATGGAAAGAGGGAGGGAGAATTGTGTACATTTTATGCCTTTGTAGAGAAAGACTTCAAAGAAAAAA